GTTACAAGATTATAAAACTTTCCTTTCCATGCTAAACCATGTCTTGAGTGTGGATGGGTTTTACTTTTCAACAACATATGATTTGATCCCTACTTTGCAGTGGTTGTCCAACATTAGTCCAGAATTGCAAGAAATGAGTCTCTTGGAATGGGCAGATCAGCAGTTTGTATGGAATGGTCATCTTCTAAGAGAACTGTCTGCTCAGCCTGAGGTTCATCGTTTTGCTCTTCCAGTGTTACATGGTTTTATTACATGCACTCATGTTCTATCAATGGAAAATACTTCAATTGGATTCTCATCTCCAAGAGGAGTTGTTTCAGAGCTCGTGTGGGTTATTATGTAAGAGGAATTGATTCTGAAGGCCATGCAGCTAACTTTGTAGAAACAGAACAAATTGTGTACTATAATGGGAGCAAGGCTTCATTTGTACAGACTCCAGGATCAATCCTGTTTACTGGTCCCAAAGACAAAACCTCAAGTACAAATCATGGCTGCAGATCAACAAAGTAGCAAATCATATGAATGGTTTCCAAAGCATTTTGATTCACAAGTAATAATTTATGGAAAAAAGTCATAATCAATCTGGTAAACCAGAAGGGCTCAGAGAAATCACTTGAACAAACATTTGCAACAATGGTGTCTTCCTTGGGAAGTGGAATGATCAGATACATTGCCTTTGACTTCCATAAGAAATGTAAAAGTATGAGATGGGATCCACTAAGTATTTTATTGGATCAGGGTAACAGAAATTCAAGATGAATTAAGTTATGTTCTAGTAGACTCTGCCGGCAAAGTGGTGACAAACAAGGAAGGCATGTTCCCCAGCAATTGCATGGATTGTCTAGACAGAACCAATGAGATCCTGAGTTTGTTAGCTCCTCCGTTTCTTCAGGCCCAGCTTCAGAGACCAGGTGCTTTGCACGTGGGACAAAAGCTTGAAGAACAAGATGAATTTGAGAAGATCTATAAAAATGTCTGGGCTGACAATGCAAATGCTGGTGCCAAACAATATGCCAGAAACGGTACCTTGGAGACTGACTTTACCAGAACTGGGAAGAGAACTCAGTTAGGACTCATAAGGAATGGATGGAATTCACTCAAACTATATTACAAGATCAACTATTCTGATGGATTTAGACAGGATTCCATAGACTTATTTMTTGGGAACTATTCAGTGGATGAATTAGAATCTCTTAGTCCTTTAAGTGTTCCAAGGGACTAGAAATTCCAGACTTTGTCTATTATTATGGTTGTTGACTTTTCGATGTGCATTATCTGTTTGCTTATGGCTGGTGACACTTGGACAGAAACACTGGCTTATGTACTTTTCTGGGGAGTTGCAAGCATTGGAACATTTTTTATTATTCTTCACAATGGCAAGGATTTTGCTGATGCTCCTAGATTTGTCCAGAAAGAAAAGATAGACTGAATCTGTGTTTGTGGAAAGTGGCTTGGCTTGGAAGATTCCATGATGCAGAACTGGAGTCTTTATTAACCCCTTTCCACATCAGACACTGTCTTTTTAAAGCCTTTATCCAAAAGCACCTCTTGTGCTCTGTGTGGAGTAATGACTTAGAATTGATCTGATGTTACTGCCTTGATGATTTCTTTACTGTTAGGATGGTTATATTTATAATTTGAAGCTATATTATAATTGAAAAATAACCTGAATTCAGCTCACAGAAAAGAAGGAATCTACTCATTGTTAAGTTAATCAGCTGTTGCAGATGAGTAATATATTTTTTAAAAATTAGCTTCTTTCATTATTTAAAACAGTACAATTATTTTTCTAGCTGTTTCATTATTGTCATTGTAGATGCAGTCACCATTAGCAAGCATATTTTCCACACCTTTGGACTTTTCTTCAAAGTTTAATAATAAGCTAACTCTACTATGTCTATAAAATGTAAGTCACTTACATCAGATGCTTGATGMCATAGTCTGTGACTTCACGGGAAGGAGGAGGAGGATGGGGGTCTAGGTTCTTCAGTTTTTGGTAGGCTGCCTCCACCTCAGTCAGCTTGAGCTGATGCAGTGCACCAGCAGTTTACTTGTGATGAAGTAAACTTCTGACGGACTTCTGTCTTTTTACCAGGTGTGCATGGAATCAAAGAATGGAAAGTCTCTCTCTTATGCTAAAGGTCCAAATCCTTTTTAAGGATTGCCCCGTTGTGGGAAATACCCTTGACTGGCCAGCTGCTTCCTCCTGTACATTTTGGTTTCTTTGGGGGTTATTCATTGAGACCCAGAGGCCTCTCTAGATCTGATATTGCACTTAGGGCAACAGCTGCTTTTCCATGCATGTTACTATTGCTTTTCTCTCTGTCACGTTTTTTTTTTTTTGTTGGCTATCAATAAGTGTGTCTAAAATTTAGTGCTTCCAGGTAGTTATAATTCTTCAAATCAAGGACCAACTTCAACTTCAATTCATGTGCAAAAACAAACCTGAAATATATGCTTCAGAAGCTGTGCATAGTTGAAATTGTAAGTCAGATTGTATATTCAAATTGTAATTATGAGGTTTCAATAATAGTACAGTATGTAAGGTAGTGTAGCTACTACTATTTTAAAACAATTTGATTAAACACTGCTACTATATTTAAGTGTTTTGCTTGAAAATATGTACAGGTTTTTTTCCAATAGTAGTACCTTATATTGTCCTTAAATGTTTCTAAAAGCGCCTTCATTTTAACATTATCTTTTCCAATATAATCTTTTACAAACATTAATAAGAATTGTTGCTTTTAGAAACTCTGAAAGAAATAATAGCTGGGAAAACCGTGTGTAGCTTAAAATAAGTCATTAAAACTCACAGTAGGGTAAGTAGATAAAGTCACCTATTCCTAACATGTAAGTAAGCATAATTTGTTCCAAAGATGGAATATTGACACATAGCTCATGTCTACTATAATATATTATCCAAATGCTACTTACTGGGCATTTCACGGTAATGATGTGAAAACTACTGCATCAAAGACCAAGTCTGAACCACTAATGTGGCTGAAATGGGCACTCCCTTTCTCCACAGAAAAGTCCTCTTCATCATGGCTGATTTTGAGACTGTCAGTCTCTGTGAAAGAGTCCAATGTAGATAAACTTCCTATTTTTGTGTCACCCTGTTTACTTGGCCACTGGCCAGGAAGATACCAGCACTCCAGGTGTTAGGCACCCCCTTACTAGTTTTTCACAAACGTATCCAGTATAGTACTTTGAAGAAATGTGCAAACAAGGCCTCTGGCCTTGAGCTGGGCTTCACAGAGATGTCTACATTTTTAAGATAAGTTACAAATGGGCTCCATGGTAACAGCAGGCAGGGGGAAGAAAGAAAAGAGGAGAAGAAGCTCTCCCCTTCTCAGATGTTGTCCTTGAAGAATTAACTTGCCCAGAACAGTGAAAGAAAAAGCTGCTTTTATGTGAATTTCTGCAGACTATGAACTTCTGAGCCCCTCCCCTTACATGCTGGGTACAAAACTCTGAAACTCCCTGAACTCGGGGTTCAGGGGATTGATTGATTACAGCAAAGGCTGTGCCCTCTGAACCTGGCTGCAGCCAAAAAAAACCTGTTTCCTGCTATCTTCGGTGCCTTGCCTCATCTGTCCCTACAACATGGCTGCTTGCAGAGAATGGACTTATTGGTATGTTAGGTCATAAACTATATTTCAGAACCCTGTAATGATTTTATTTCTTAATTTGTGTACTGTACATCAATAAGTGAAATTAAAATGTCATATACTTTTCTAAAAAAAAAATTCAGTCTTCCAATCTTAGGTATATGGTTGACTTTAGGATTTTTTTTTTTTAAGATGGACAAAGTTCCCTTCTAATCCTAATTTTCTGAGACATTTTTGTCATGAATGAATGTTGAATTATAACAAGCACTTTATATATATATTTTTAAAAAGAATTCTCTTTATATAAAAGCAATTTTTAATTTGCTTCTTGTTTAAAAACCAAAGGTTTCTCAGACAGCTCAAGTCCCCCATTACTTCCTGTAGGATGGGTGTAGATGTAAATTCTCCCCACCCTGCTGAACTTTACCTTGATTGGCTCCTGTACATTATATTAGCTGTATGTCTTTTCTCAATAAATGAGATCCTGCTTTGACTGGTCTCCCAGGTGTGTCTCATTGTCCTCCAGTGAGGGAGGGCTGGGTGTGGGCTTCAACCTTTACCTTTCTCAGCTCATCCTGTTACCTTCTTGGCTAGTCCTGGTCGGGGCATGCTTTCCCCATCTATTCTGCAGGTCAGGAGGAAATGGGGGACTAAAAACCCTGACAGATACCAAATCAATCAGTGAATTCCAACTGTCTTTTAAAACCCAACATTGAAACATCACTTCTTTTGCAATCACTAATTCTTCAGTGTTAAGTGTGTTGGGCTCCTACCTCTTTTGTTGCAAATAATTGCACCATGAGTGCAATTATTTGTTTACTTGGACTCCTTCCCAAATAAATCATGAGCAATGCAAGGGTAAGGACAATGTTGAGAAAAATGCTTAGCAAAATGCTCAATAGAAAGTGGGCCCTAGTTTAGCTATTGTGAATTGCGCTACCATAAACATTGAGGTGGCTGTGTCCCTATAATATGCTGTTTTTAAGTCCTTTGGGTATAGACCAAGGAGAGGGATAGCTGGGTCAAATGGTAGTTCCATTCCCAATTTTCCAAGAAATTTCCATACTGCTTTCCATATTCCATATTTCCAAATTGGCTATACCAATTTGCAGCCCCACCAGCAGTAAATGAGTATATATTTTTCCCTACATCCTCGCCAACACTTATTGTTGTTTGTCTCATAATAGCTGCCATTCTAACTGGAGTGAGATGATATCTTAGAGTAGTTTGGATTTGAATTTCTCTAATTGCTAGCAATGATGAACATTTTTTCATATATTTGTTGACTGATTGAATAGTGTAATTAAAATTGATTCCCAATATGAAGTTAAAAATTTTTGTCACTATTAAATTTTGAAGACATTTAAAAGATTATATGAAATAAGTTACCTGTAAATGAAACAGAACTTTTTTGTTTCTTTCTATTTCTGATGTTTGTGATTGTTGTTGTTTTGTAACTTGCTTTACAACTTCAGTTAGTGATGATGTATCTTCTTTACCCACAGCTAGACAAAAGAATAAAGTACATGATGAAAACTAAATGCAGACATTTTAAGACACTTATGTCTCTATATTGGAATATGAAAAATTAGGTGTTTTTTCTGATTTAAAAGAAAATTACATTTTGGATTGGTAATCCTCCCAGATTCTAGACAAAATCAAAATCAAAGGCAATAATAGTAGGCAATTCAGGCAACTCAAAGTTGTCTTCTGCAATGCCATAACTGTTCTTTTCTGGAAGAGTATAAATATTTTGATTGTCCTAATTTTTTTTATCTGGACCACTTGCACTTATACTATAGCGTCACCACAACAACTCAATAGCAATTATAGTTGATGGATTTTCAACATTGGCCTGTATTTTCAGGTTGTTATGCCTTTTCTAAACACTGAGTACGTTTCTTCCTGGTGAAATATAACTGCCTCCTTCTACTTTAATTTATTATTCCTTCTAACATAATTATCTTTTGGTACTACTTTTTGTTGATGTTCTTTTAATTATTTATTTCTTAAGATTGATTCATTACCGTCTTTAGGAACTTCTTCACTCTTTCTTTCCTCGTTGCCTGACATTCTCATTGTCTGTAATCTCCTCTTTTCCACAGTCTGGCTCACTTTCTTTACTCCTACAAAAACATCTATATTGTTATAAATTGTCAAACATGTCACAGGAATGCAATGACATTTCACCCCTGGTACCAGTAATTAAAAGACAATGATTAAGTGAGAGATTTTAGAAGAAAAGTCGAACTGTATTTGAATCTTGGTTCTCCTGCTTTTTAGCCGTTATGACCTTGAGTAAGTTTCTTCTTTTATTCACTGTGTCCTCATCTCTACACCCTTATAGGGCTGTTGAAATAATTATAACAGCCACACACACAATTGGTGAGAATCAGTTCTAAGAATGCTTTAGCAATCTCTATCACAAATATAGGATATAGGGAAATAGCACTCTTGCCCAGTGTTATTTTGATCAGGGTAAAACCTAAGCAGGTTGAAAATCATGTGCCAGTGTACTTGATTTAGGAGTAACTGATAAGATGAAGGAATACATATTTTTCCCCATTGAAAGATGAAGAGAAAGTTGTTCCAACATAACAATGCTGAGTTGGCAGAAGTAAGGGCATTATCAGCTTTAGGAAAAAAGGTCTCCAAATCTGCCTGTCCATTCCTATGCAGAGAAAATGGTTCAAGATTTTATGATATGTAAATGGAATCCAATGTCAATAAGTACTTTTGAAATTGGAAGTTGCCATCTCCCATTAAACATAAGGATTTTTCTATTCAGATGACTGATCCTTTTTAAAAAATTCTTGATTTATACAGAACCTGTGCATCTTCCCAAATTGTACTCAAGTGATTACAAGCTTTTTGAGAAAGAAAGAACAAACAAATGTCATAAAGTAAGGCACATGCTAGGAAACATTTAAAAACACTAAATATGTTTCCTAAAAATTATAGACAAAGTACTCATGTATTAGTCATGAGTAATACATTTTAAAGGATTAAAATATGATATATAAACAAAAAGAGAAAAACAATGTTAAATTCCTTTCTACCTGAGGACACTTAAGCCTATCCAGAATATCCTACCATGCAAAAGAAAGCCTGAGAGCTTAACTAGCAGATTGTTATAATCACCCCTGAGAATTTATGATTCTTTCCTATCTCTTCAGGTCACTCCTTCAAATATCACCTCAAATGTACCACTTTCCTGAAGTCTTCCCTGAGCGAGTCCATTTACTCTGTTCATGTCATTATTCTAAGTCCTTTCCTCCTAGCACCCAGAACTGTCCCAGATCAGTGCTAACAGATCCAAATCTGATTTTTCTCTCGAGCTCTTTAGTTTGCCTTTCATGCTCATAGACAACATCCTTATTCTTCCCACCTAATGTAAAATTGCATGCCTTTATACTTTCAGACAGTTCTCTCCATAAGTATTTGTATTGTGCTTGCTTTATGCTGGACATTGTTATGAGTGGTTTAGATAAAACAACAACTGAAAAACCAGCCTCTACCTCAGAGCAAAGCCTGTCCAAGGAAGGGACATGACCTTTGTCCTTGGAAAGACCCACAGAGCACACCTAGGCACATTCTCACCCTGCTAAGTTGTTTATCTACAAATAACAGGAGATAACTGCTGCACCAGGTGTCCCTGACTCAGTCAGGCTAGGTGGGGATCCATAGCAACTCCCTAGCAGCCACCAATCAGCAGAGACAGGGAAATACCTGGGATGCCAGATGACCCTCCTAGTAGTTTATGGTGGTTGATTAACGTGTTGGGAAACCATGTAGTTCAGCATGTACACCCCTTTTGGCTTAAACCAATCAGTTCAAACGAATCCCCCTCTTGTAGTAACCATTCACCCCTACCCAACTTGTTCCCACCAGTGAATGTGCTAATCATGTTTTAGAGTTGTTATATGATTTTCCCACGGTGTGTGATGATTTGCTAAGAGATGCTATGATGTATGTGGGGGTCCCTGCCTTCTCCAAAGAATGTATAAAACTACTGCAAACCCTGGGCTCAGGGCCTCTCAGCGTCACCAGTTGCTATGTGCACGCGGAGAACCGAGCTATTGCAATAAACACCTCTTTGCTGTTTACATCGATCTTGGTCTCTGGTGGTCTTTTGGGGGTCCCGAATTCGAGCATAACACAACAATGACGATAAAATCTATATTGTTTAGTGTTTATGTGGTGCCTGGCAGTATGCTAAGTTTACAAATACTAACTCATTTGACTCTATGAGGTAGATATTATTATTATGATTTTCATTGTATAGAAAAGTACAGTGAGGCACAAATAGACCAAGAAACTTAACCAAAGTTAAGTTTGCTAGCTATTGAGATGTGATTTAAATTCAGGTATTTGGGCTCCAAAGTTTATGCTCTTAAATTTTAGTTTAAGGGTAGAAGTATATCTTTATCCTTCCAGAATCAAATTAAATTACACTTTTGTAGTCATTTTGTTGCTTTAATGGCCTTCCCCCCCCCCCCCCCCCGCCCCCAGTACTGGAGATTGAACTTGCAGCCTCTGTGCCTACTAAGAACATAACTCCACCACTGAGCTACATCCCCAAATATCCCCAGCCCCCAACTTCCTTCTTTCTATTCCCTTTCCTACTATCACCTTTTATTCTTTTGGGAAATATTCAAGTAAAGCACATTGATGAAGCAGCTGTACTTCCTGGAGACTTCCCCTGGCCTCAATATTGTAATTTGCATAACTGAAGAAGGAACCCTGTGAGTTCTGCAGGCTCCTCCTAAGTTCTTACTAGCGAAGTTGCCTTCCTGGTGAGTCCCTTTTCTTTCAGCTAAATTAGTGTCATTTCCATAATCAAAGACACTGTGATCACTGTTCCCATTATACTCTATTTCCCAAGGGCTCATTCCTGGTCATAAAGACCCATCCACATTCACTTGATAAGTCTCTGAATTTGATGTTGTGTTACCTCAACCACTTAATAATCCTTCCATTGTGGTCTCTGAAAAATCCTATCTTTCACAATTTCAGTGAACTTTCCTTCATCTTTTGCCTCTAACTGAAATCCAAAAATATTGCTTCTTCATCCTCAAATCACTACTAAATCTAGAGGTAAGGTGTTGTTCCTGTTCCCTGTCAGCACTACCAAACTAGTATCCTTCTTTTATATTTAAAACCTCTGATTCTTTGAAGTTCATGCCATCAGACTAAGCTTTACCTGTCCTTGTTGTTATTAATTGATCTGTAAAGGTAAAATTTCTAAGCTGATTCTAAGCTGCAAGAGTCTGAGTTAAAGTGTAAAAGAGTGGGCATTGTAAAGTTTCTAAATTGAAAGGCTTGGGCTAAAAAAAAATAATAATAGGCCAGGTATTGTTAAAATTCCTCTGCTACCCCCGGAACCTGTAATCTCTGTAGCTGTTAGGACAATACCTGAACTGCCCAGTAAATATTCCATTGATTCCCTGGTTGTTTATTAGCTAAGGGCTCCAAATAGCTTGGTAGGAAAGCATCCAGGCCACAAAACCAATCAGTTTAAATGTGTACCCCGCTTAGTAGTGACCAATCACCCCTGCCCAGACTGTTCCCGCCAATGAATGTACTAATCATGGCTCAGAGTTGTTGTTCAATTTTCCCGTGCCTATTCAGTATTTTGATTATAAGAATTGTTCAATCACACCAAGACTTCCAATCCATTAACACTTCTACCTTTATGTGATCCTTCAGCCCTTCATGTATTCTTACTTCCTTATCTGGCTTAGATTCTTTTGCATTCACCCCCACTTCTCCTAGAGCTCTTTCCTTGACCTTCTTCCCGGAAAAATCCAACCAGTTGCTTTATTTTCACTCAAGTAGCTGAATATGTTATTTTTAAAACAAACAAACAAACAAACTTCCCACATCTATTTTCCCTTTTCAGCTGATAGCCTACCTTCTTATGTAACTGAGATAGTAGAAAATATCAGAGGTTATTAAGTTATTCATCTACTAGTCTTTCTGAACCTGTACCCACATATTAGTCTATCTTTTCTTACAATGAATAAAGCATCCTTTCTTGTAACTAAGGCCAATAGTCTGCTCTTGGACTTTCTCATTTTGTCAAAGACATTATTTCAATGTTCTCTCAACATAATTCCCTCTTTATTTGGCCATATATGTCATCCTGAATGACTCTGATAAATCACCACCTACCAACACCACCACCCTTGCTTTGATTCTGTAACCCCTGTCAGCTACTCATCCATTTCTTGTTCTCATTTATAGGCAACAATACATGCTGTTCAATTCCTTTCCCTTCATTCTTCTTGAATCAACAAGAACAAACAGTTGCCACTCTACTCTTTAAGCTCTCATCTGACCTCCATGTTGTTACATTCAATGGATGAGTTCAGTCTCCCCTTTACTTGTCTTAGTGGCATTTTTTTAAAATAACACGTTATTTTATTTATTTATTTTTATGTAATGCTGAAGATGGAACCCATGGCCTGGAGCATGCTAGATGTGCACTCTACCACTGAGCCACAACCCCAGCCCTAATGGCATCTTTTGACACATTGGAACTGACCACCTTCTCTGAAAAAAAACCACACTTGGTTTCTTTTGCCGCTTCCTTCTTATCTTTCTCACTTGTTGGAATATTCCAGGGCTCAGTTCTCATGAACTTTTCTCATACACATWTTTACTGAGAGCCATAGCCAAGTAGGAATGAAAGGTGACCCTGCTCAGGGATTAGGGTGGCTCCAGGTTTAGGGTGGATCCTGCTGGAATAGGGCAGCTCCAGGTTTAGGGTGGATCCTGCTGGAATAGGGCGGCTTCAGGTTTAGGGCAGATCCTGCTGGGATTAGGGCATATCCTGCTCCTTGAGTTCCTGTGGAGTTCTCCAGGGGTTCTGAGAGAATTGGTATGCAGAGCCTGGTGGAGGGAGTGTATTTTTCCCAGAACGTGCGTGTAGAGTGCCGGTGAGAGTTTGGGAATAAAGAGTTGCTGTTTGAATCTACAAGGCTTTTGTGGTGGCTCAGTTCTTTCGTGCCCAGCCAGACTGCGGCACATATTACTGGTTATGCCATCCACAATCTAGTTCTACAGTTTGA